AGGAATTATGATTTCCAAAACAAAGGATCAGAAGCAGATGCTCTGATCAAGGATGGATAAGTTGGATAGACCAGAGGCACAATTGATGACAAATAGTTTGGTTGAGAACCAGCTCATGTTCAAAATGACGTCTGAGCCGAAAAGATAATTTAGAAGGGTTGATCGATGATTGTGTGCATTCGCACACATGTTGAAGCAATAGGATCAAAATGGCGGTGTCAAAAGATACTAGTGAATATTGCTAGTGATATGGGAGCATCCATAATGTAAGCAGACAAGTATTTGTAGAGCAATAAGCTGCTAAGGATTTTTTTGGAGGATCGAATAGCATTTCGAAGACTTTTGTGAAACACAGGAACAACTGGGGATGAGCGGATACTCGACAAGTGCGAGGATTTATTTGAAGGGGTATTCGTGTGGCAAAGAACTGCTAGGCAGTAGGCACAAAGTATTCTTGGAACAATAGAGAAAACTTCGGGGTATCTTGTAATAACAAGATCAATGGGGGATGATCATATGAATGGCAAGTGTAAGTAGTATCCATAAGGGTTTATCGGTGGTCGGGAATTGCAAAAGCAACGGGCACAAGGTCTCGAGAGAATATCAAAGAGTATCTCCGAAATCTTCTGGTGCAGTCGGTGATCATCTGGACCGAAGGGCCTCTCCGGGAGAAAGTATTTTCGAGAACCTAAAGTTAGATTTTAGTAAAAATCATTTAACCCGAATAGAAGAGAGTTCAGAATACCAGAGTAAAGGTCGAGGAATAAAAGATCCTAGTACCACCCAATGGCGACGTGGGCCCGTAAGGCACACAGCCATGTTAGTAAAAGTTTTGTAATGTCTAGACTCGACTTCGGCCAAGGAGTTGGAAAGGAGAATTCCTACAGGCAGTCGGCTCTGATACCAACTTGTGACGCCCCCGATTTAATCGTACACTAATCATGCATGCAAATGTGTACGATCAAGATCAGGGACTCACGGGAAGATATCACAACACAACTCTAAAACATAAAAAAGTCATACAAGCATCATAATACAAGCCAGGGGCCTCGAGGGCTCGAATACAAGTGCTCGATCATAGACGAGTCAGCGGAAGCAACAATATCTGAGTACAGACATAAGTTAAACGAGTTTGTCTTAAGAAGGCTAGCACAAACTGGGATACAGATCGAAAGAGGCGCAGGCCTCCTGCCTGGGATCCTCCTAACTACTCCTGGTCGTCGTCAGCGGGCTGCATGTAGTAGTAGGCACCTCCGGGGTAGTAGTCGTCATCGACGGTGGCGTCTGGCTCCTGGGCTCCATCGTCTGGTCGCAGCAACCGGGTAAAGAAAGGGAGGAAAATGGGGAACAAGGCAACCGTGAGTACTCATCCAAAGTACTCGCAAGCAAGGAGCTACACTACATATGCATGGATATATGTGTAAAGGGCCATATCAGTGGACTGAACTGCAGAATGCCAGAATAAGAGGGGGATAGCTAGTCTTATCGAAGACTACGCTTCTGGTCACCTCCGTCTTGCAACAGGTAGAAGAGGGTAGGTTGAAGTCCTCCAAGTAACATCGCATAGCATAATCCTACCCGGCGATCCCCTCCTCGTAACCCTGAGAGAGAGCGACCACCGGGTTATATCTGGCACTTGGAAGGGTGTGTTTTATTAAGGATCCAGTTCTAGTTGTCATAAGGTCAAGGTACAACTCGAAGTCGTCCTGTTACCGAAGATCACGGCTATTCGAATAGATTTAACTTCCCTGCAGGGGTGCACCACATAACCCAACACGCTTGACCCCATTTGGCCGGACACACTTTCCTGGGTCATGCCCGGCCGCGGAAGATCAACACGTCGCAGCCCCACCTAGGCATAAGAGAGAGGTCAGCATGTCGGTCTAAACCTAAGCGCACAGGGGTCTGGGCCCATCGCCCTTAGCACACCTGCACGTTACGAGGGCGGCCGAAAGCAGACCTAGCCTAGCAGGCGTTCCAGTCCAATCCGACGCGCGCCGCTCCGTCGCTGACGTCACGAAATGCTTCGGCTGATACCACGACGCCGGGATACCCATAACTACTCCCACGTAGATGGTTAGTGTGTATAAGGTCAACGACCCAACTCAGATCAAATACCAAGATCTCGTTAAGCGTGTTAAGTATCCGCGAACGCCGACCAGGGCCAGGCCCACCTCTCTCCTAGGTGGTCTCAACCTGTCCTGCCGCTCCGCCACAAAGTAACAGTCGGGGGCCGTCGGGAACCCAGGCCCACCTCTACCAGGATGGAGCCACCTGTCCTTTCAGCCCTCATCTCCGAACAGTATCACAGGTAATGCAATAGTGTAAAGTACATAGTATATGCCCGTGATCACCTCCCGAAGTGATCACAGCCCAATAGTATAGCATGGCAGACGGACAAGAGTGTAGGGTCACTGATGGAACACTAGCATCCTATACTAAGCAGTAGGATAGCAGATAAAGGTAACAACAGTAGTAGCAAGGACAGGCTATGCAGCAGTATATGATTAACTGAAAGCAGTAACATGCTACACTACTCTGATGCAAGCAGTATAGAGAAGAGTAGGTGATATCTGGTGATCAAAGGGGGGGGCTTGCCTGGTTGCTCTGGCAAGAGAGAGGGGTCGTCAACTCCATAGTCGAACTGGGCAGCAGCAGCGTCGGTCTCGTAGTCTACCGGAGATAAGAGGGGGAAGAAACAATGAATACAATGCAAACATAAACACGATGATGCGTGACGTGACAATGAGCGGTGCTAGGTGTGCCCTAACGTGGTATGAGGTGGTACCGGTTAAGGGGGGAAACATTCGAGAAGTATTCCCGGTGTTTCGCGTTTTCGGGCAGAGGAGCCGGAGGGGTAAAGTTGCGAGTTCGATAGGTTAGGGGGGTTTGGCGGACGAACGGGTTGCGTATCCGGAATCGTCTCGTCGTTCTGAACAACTTTCATGTACAAAGTTTCTTCATCTGATAAACGGTTTAATTTATATTATTTATCAAAGTTTTAATCATTTTCTATAATTATTATTAATTCAAAAATAAATAGGAAAATGCTACGAGTACATAGAAGTGTACCCAGCTAGAGTGTGTGTGTGTGTGAGGCTGGCTTGTGGGACCAAGGGGGCTAGTCAGCAGTCTAGTCAGCATCGACCATTGACGGGTCAAGCTGACTAGTGGGGCCCAGGTGTCATTGACACAGGTTTAACCTAGTGTTAAGTTTTATTGATAACAGATTAATTAGCAGGGTGGGTCCCATCTATCAGTGAGTGGTTACCTTAGTTAATTATGTATATTAACTAATCTGCAGTTAATTAACGCGTGGGGTCCTGGAGTTAGTGAGTGTTAGTAGGGGGTAAATGACGTCCTCGTCATCATGGTTAACGCCGACGAGGAGCTATAGTGCGCCGGCGACGGCAGCAACGCGAGAACCCGTCGGGCTTGCGCTATGGGCATCGGTTCGATGCGTGAAGGGGACCGATGGGTAGCTGGTGGTCGACCACGTCGACCGGTGGTCGCGGGGCGGCCGAACTTGGCCGGAGACGACGGCGGAGTTGACATCCGCCGCGGCGCAGGCGGCTGCCGGAATAGGCGTGGTGGGGCGACGCGAGGTAGGCAGCAGGCGCGGACTATGCGGGCGGGCTACCGGCTAGCGGCAGTGTGGCCACGCACGGGAGCGTGCACAGGG